GAAAATCGGAAATCGTACGAAAATCCAGCGGCATAACGGTAGTCTATCAAATTTACACAAAAATCCTACAAAATCACAATTCACCAAATTACAATAGAATGTTCACGACAATAATATAAGACTATTATTCTACTGAATCAATATCAATAAACATCCTAATATTTTTCTATTCGATCAAAATCGCGTAGAACCCAAAATAACCGGTGAAATCGTTCCAGAAAATAATCAAATCGTGTAGAATATTCATATCTATAACATATTAAAAGTTGTGCGGTGAAAGTTGTGTCAATACAAAACCGGGTCTGTTTTTCGATCACAAAAACAAAAAACAGTGCACAATACGATCAAAACTCAATATCTCTGAAAACAGAAATAGGATTCGGAGTCCTTACCACGAGATAAACACTTTTTCCAACAGCGGCGTCGGACGAAAAGCGCTCCGCAGCCTCCGAAAACAAGCTTTTCCTTCGCTTTCCTTCTCTTTCTCTCTCCTCAGATATTTTGATTTTTATAAAAATATCTTCTCTCTCCTCAAATCGAGCTGATTTCCTTATAAAATAAGTCTGATCGTCCTGGCCGATCGCCACATCGTCCAGGACGATGTGAACAAAATCCAATCGTCCAGAACGATTCCTCAGGCCGATAATTAATTTGTCAAAAACCCTTGCTCTCGGGATTTTGCCATACACTGATCGTCCCAGGACGATCTAAAATCGGCCTGGACGATCCTGGGAGGAAAAATCAAATCTGAGAAGGCAAATCAAAGGATTGAGCTCTCACAGTTAGGCCCCGTAGTTTTTCCCCATTTTCAAGGGTTTTTTTCACGTAATAATTTTGGTGTCCCATAAATGCTACACCCTCTCTTATATCTGATTGCATGCCGGATCTTCGTACAAAGTTAAGACGTTAAATGTTATATTTCAGTACCGCCGCGAAAACTCCATGATGCAACAACTTTATAATCATAAAAGTTGGTATCTTAAGGATATTTGATGAGATTTGGGGATGGACATGAGGATGGATGCTAAAAGTGATGGGATGCCAGATGTTGAGGGACACAGACGCCATATGTGATCATGATAATAGAAGGATGGCAGATATCAAATTTGAGCTTAGGGAGATATTATTCTGTGTGGTGTCCGAACATGTTCAGAGGCCAATCCGGACTCGTCATGTCATCCAATGCATTGTGCATTGAATGACGTGGATCGTTCGAATTGACATCCAGAAGCATCCGGACATCGCACGTAATAAGTTTTTGAGCTTAGGGGCTAATCTTACCCCATAACTTGAAGTGAAGGTACAAGTAGGAGCTTGGGGAAAGCACAAAGGCACTCATGATAGGATCATAAGCCTTTAAGAGCACTTTGAGCTACTCAAACTCTCAAATGAAATAGAAACAAAAAAGATGAGGTAAGTTGGTGTGCTTGCACTGAAAATAATTGAAAATACTCAAATAAAAATGAAAATAAGAGCACATACAGCTGTGATATATTGATCATGAAAGGGATGGAAATGATGGGTAAGTGCCAATAAATGCAACATTGGATACTTTGTTCTTACCCACTCCTCTTTTACAAATTATTCAAATTAAAATTGGGTATATTTACTTGTATGCCCTTGCTCAATATATAAATTTATTGTTATAATCTTAATTAAAAGAAAAGAGATAGAACACAAAACTACTGAGAAAAAGTTGCGGGGGAATTGATTTTACTAATTAATTGAATTTAAATATCATGCATGATTTCATGAGGTGGCACACATATTTTTGTGGCCCCTAAATGCCTTAGCTTTAAATTTGAATTTAAAAAAATTTAATGACTGTTATATGACACAAGAAAAAATATATGATTTTATAAACTATTATTATTTTATATATTATATAATACTTAACTATCATATATTGTATGTAATTTCTTTTAATTTAGATATAAAGCATGATAATTTTGTTTTTTTTTTAATTTGATTATTTTATTTAACATTTAGCTATTACATTATGAATGTCATTACATTTAAATTTAAATTCACAACTTTATTCAATCCTTTTACTTAATAGATATGATTTATGACATTGAATTTTACATTTAAGTATAAATAAATTTATATTTTAATTTAAATTTCAATATTTTTGATTAAATCATGTCATCTGTAATATAGCTAATAAATTGTTTTATATTGTCCATCATCCAATTATTTTTATTTCCCTCCCAATAAAATTTGGAGCAGTGACTGTGTGTAAAAGCTAAGTTACGCATAAAAGTTCAAAAAAAAAAAAAAAAATTAAAAAAAAAAAAAAAAAAAATTCAAAACCTCCAACTTTCAAATTCCATGGAGAGCAACTGAGCAAGACAACTGGGGTCCCTACCGACACACATAAACTGGCAGTTGCACTGCCACCTCTCCATCTCTTTGTCTATGTAAGCTTTGAAGATAACTCACGAGAAAAGAAGCACCTTTTCCCCTTTCTCAGTGTCTTTGCAGTTTTGGTTGTTTTGGCAATGGTAGTTTATCGGAATACCGTGGTGTGCGGCGACATTCCGGCGGAGTTCCAGCCGGAAAAGGTCCCTTCTTCATCCAATACTATGTGGGAGGACTTCTTCCCCGGGCAAAATAAGGTTATATACTACTTATTATTTCGCTTGCGAGTTTTGGTATCTGCTCACCTTTCCTTTTGATTTGTTTCCCAGAAAAATGGCGTCTTTATCGTGTTCTTTCTTTGGTGGCTGCTGAAGCTGCTTCTATTATTATTACTTTTTTCGTTAGTAATTTATGTTCATTTTGCGTCTCCAGTTTTTAACATAACATCATGGGCTGTTTGGTTGCAAGATTTAGCCATGAATTAGCCAGGATTTAGGCTGAATTTTCCTGAATAACTTTTTGAACCACAAATCTTACTAATTTTAATTTTAGTTTTCCTTTCATTTTAGCTTTTAATTAGAATTTAGTAAATTCTGGGTGAAGGAGGAGTTAAGATATTTACGTCATTTCTCTTGGTTGCATCTCTTCTTCTTCTTCATTTAAATTTAAAATTTTAGAAGTATATATGAAATTATTTTTTAAAATTTATGATATATTATGTCAAACTGCATTTAGGATTTGGTACCTTGAGAATTTTTGCTAAATCCTATTTGCAGCTAAAGCACTTCCGACTAATAGATAGTTTGCAGCCTCAAAGAATGATTGTTCTTTTCACAATTTGTCTACCAATCACTTGATTTTGTCTACTGTTGCAATTTTTTGTGAAATAATTCCTACAGCCCTTCTGGTGAATTCCTCAACGTACATATTATGCAAGTCGTCTCCCGTCCTCTTTTGGATTTTCAAAATTAATGCCTTGCTACTTAATGTTTGAATTTAGGAAGAAGATGAGGAGAATGACAGCCTGCAATGGCTTTCAATCTATGTGGAGGACTGCCTTTCAGGCAATACAAGTTTCACCTCGCCACCATCACCAACTCACTCAAACACAATCAAAATTTCTCAAAATCCTAAACAAACTCAAAAACTAAGCTCCTCCTTTGAAAACTTCTCACTCTCAGTCCCAGCCAAGGCCAGAACCAAGAGAAGAAAGACCAAAGATGATTTCAATTTTCTAAATTACTCTAAAGAATCTCCTCTCCTTCACCAAAAACACTGGCTTGCAGAGAGTGAGCTCCTCATAATCCCCAAAATGGAGAAACTTGACAAGTTACAAGAGCATGCGGAGAAGGGTATTGGCAATGGAAGAGAATTGCAGCAGCTGCAGCCGAGAAGATGCAGTCATTGTCTATCACACAGGACACCACAGTGGAGGGCTGGGCCTTTGGGGCCTAAGACTCTCTGTAATGCTTGCGGCGTGAGGTTCAAGTCTGGGAGGCTTCATCCTGAATACAGGCCAGCAAAAAGCCCCACCTTTGTAAGCTACATGCACTCCAACTCTCACAAGAAGGTGATGGAGATGAGAATGGTTGGTCTCTCCTCCCATTCCAAATAAGCCATGTAAAACAGTTAATTATCTTTTGTTTTTCTTTTCTTGATTGGTGTTTTGGTATTGGGCTTTCAATGATGAATACAAGTCTTCCTTGTTCATCTTTGATTGCAGTATTCCTTTAAAGCAAGAAACCAAGAGATTATGGTTTACTACTGAGCTTTTTTGTTAGTTTCTTTCTGTATCTTTGGCTGGACTTTTGTGTTTTAGGGATAGGGCTGTGTATGTATAATTCAATCAATCGATTCTCCATTGGAGCGTATGTTAGTTGCCAATTAACTATGATGCTCTGTGAGGAAGGTAGCAATTGATTACTTCAAATGTTGCTGGCTATACATGAATGCATAATGAATGAGTGAAGACAAATTTCGTCAAACTTTTGAAGCTTATGTGAAAACCATTTAGTTATACAAGGTAGAAACCGTGCACTTTTTCGAGCTTTTTTTATTAGTATGTTTTCTACATATGGGTTTTGTTTGGGATGACTTTCTTGCTACTTTTTAAAACAGCTTTTTAATAAAAAAATTAAAATTTTATATAAAAAATTATTTTAAGAAGTAGTAAAAAAACTGTTCCAAACGAAACCTTATTATGCTTGGCTGAAGTGTCTTTTGCCTGTAGTTGGTGATAATGCTTCTTCCTTTAATGGTTGTTGGATAATAATAAGAGACTTTAATTGCAGTAGATTCCATTTAGATAAATTTTGAAGCCAAATTCATCAATATAGCTTCTGCAAGTGGTTTGATTCAAATTCAACCAAACTTCTCTTATTTTCTCTCTTTCCTTCAAATCTAAGTGAGCAAGTATTTATGCCTAATTCCATCATAAAAGGGGGGTGGGGGCATCACCTTTTATATGCTAAGCCTAATATAATAATTATTATTATTACAATAATAAAAACAATAGTAATTATTTTTTATACATTATCGAAAAATTTTTTGATTGGGCACTAATCTCGGCGCAATGTCGAATTGGAGACTTCCAAAATTAAATATGGGACCATCCGAACTCCGACTTCAACAAACTTATATTCGAATTGAACATCTCGAAAAGGAGGAGAAGAGGGAAATTTGAGATATTTCTTGCCACTAAGCTCTTCCTCTACCACCGCCGCTCGACCACCAACCGTTACTAGACTTCTGCCCGGCAGACTTTTGCTTGGCCACCACCCATTGTTAGGGGTGCAACCGAGTCAAGCCGGCTCGCGAGCCAACTAGGGCTCGACTCGTTAACGGGCTCGACGAGTCGAGCTTATCGAGCTCACGAGTCGTGTTAGAACACAATTTTGAGCTCAAAGGCTTAACAAGCCCGAGTTCGAACACTCTGCTACTCGACTCGATAGCTCGTTGAGTAGCTCACGTAAGAGAAGAAAAAGCAGGCGGGAGCGGAATTCACAAGCGGGAGCAGGATTCAGGAATCAAAGTTCTCAGGCGGGAGTAGGATTCGACAGAGCTCACGGCTTCAACGGCGGGATGACGAGCTTGCGGCTTCGACGAAGGGACGATGGAGGTTGCGGCTTGCGAATTTGACGAAGGGACGATGGAGGTTGTGGCTTGCGAATTCGACGACGGGACGACGAGCTTGCGGCTTCGATGACAGGACAACGGAGGCTTCGATTACTGTCGACGTTACTCGCAAACAGGAGCCGACTTTGACGGAGCTTGCAGCTTCGACGACGGGATGATGAAGGCTTCGATGTCGGTCGACAGGATTCGCAGGCGGGAGCGGGCTTCAACGGAGCTTGCGGCTTTGACCACGAGACGACGATCGATGTAGCTCGGGACGACGAGCAGGATTCGCGGATGACGTAGAAGGAGCTCGGCGAACCATTCGACTCGACTCGTTTGCACCTCTATTCGTCCTTGGACTTCCTCCAGGCCACCAACTGTCTTTGGACTTACGCCCGGCCACTGATGCCGCTTGCCGACTACGGTCTTTCAAATCTCCGTCGTCCGCTAACTACGGTCCACTCCGACCTTCGTCGCTTGCCGAATACGATCCAATTCGACATCTGTTTGTGTGTTGGATCTTCATACAAAGTCAGAAAACTAAAATTTATATTTTTGTACCACTATGAAAATTCGTTATTGCAGTTGTTGTTATTTTTATTATTATTAGGGGAAAATATTAATCCATATTTTCAAGTTAAGAAAATAAAGAAGAAATGAAACCCAAGTGAAAAGTTTAGTGCTCTGTTTAGTGAGGTGAGCTAAACAACATAATGATTTGTTCATTTAATTTTATTTATTTAATTCATTATTATTATTATTTATTTGTATTTTTAAAACTGACGCATTATAAGCTTAATTGTTCAACAAATGTGTGAAAAATTATATTTATTTCACAGCACAATGTATATAATAGAAAAAATTTCGATCACAATATAAAAATTTATTAGATTAGCTTTGAAATTAATAAACATAGTACACGATTAATTAATCAAAATTTATATTCAATTATTTCAAAACAAATTTATAAATCTTTGAAATTAATTCCCACTTAAAATTAAAATAGAGTTTACAAGTCCTTAAAAGATCCCAAAGCTCGTTAAAAAATACAACTATTGAAGCAAAACCTAAGAGTCAAAGGGTCAAAACTATTACAATCTTCAAGAAAGAAAAAGAAAAAAAACAACAGAAAATCAAAACGGGCACCAGAAGCAGCTGGCAATAGCAATTCCACATAAAGACGAGCAAACCAACCACACTTGTAGAAAAAGATTAGGAAAAAGCACCTGCAAGAGAACTAAGAAGCTAAACCACCCTGTTACAAGTAGAGTCAAGAAGGAGCACCAAAAGACCACCACAGAAACAACAACGATCTAGCTAGCCAACCTCTGAACAAAAGACAACCAACATACCATAAGCAAACAAAATAAGATCCTGCAAGAACCAAAAATCAACATCGAGATAGCAACCAACCAAGGCCCAGATCACCCGAGAGCACAACCAGCAGGCCAAAACAAAAAGAGACAAGCAAAGGAGAAAAGGAAATCCAAAAAGATTTATTATTTTTTGGATTTCCTCCGCTTATGCTTACCAACTATTTTAAAGAAACCATCCTCAATAATTTGAATCACATTTAATTCATTGATTTCCCTTGAATGCATCATTGGCACATCCATCACTTACCCGACATCCCAATTAGAGGCTGAATCACAATCATCAAGCCAGTCACCTTGAACCACCACATTCTCCTTCGAGTTGGTTGCTAAATGAGCTAACAAAGCATCGTTGGCAATAAGAGAAATATGAATATTAATGAGAGGGGAAGGGGCTTGAACATTCGAATCAATATTAATTTCAACATCTAAAACAACAACATCATTAATAGGCAAATCCTTGTCACCAAACTCCACATTTCCATTCTCAACAGGTAAGTTTGAAAACAAAATACCCACAGGGCAAGCAACCTCAGGCCGCAAAGGAGTAGAATCAGAAGCATCATCCTCACCACCTTCAGCATTAGAACTAGGGGATGGACTAGCTATATGGTTAACTAAGCAGGGGTTGGTGCCCACATTGAAATCCTCTATGTTGTTACAAGATAAAACCAAATGCAAAGTAGTAGTCCACGAGTCAACACTCCCATAAGTTCTGACATTATTAATATCCACGTCCACCTCATTAACTGTTTAAAAGCCATTATCCTTAGTAACCACCACAACATTAATCAGCGAGATAGGCAAAACATAAGTAACATTATCCATAATTTTCACGACACCAGGGACATTCATATCATAATTAATATTGGCATTAATCAGATTTGAGAGAACATCATTGCCCGATGCCGGGACAGTAGCGGGATTGGGGCGACAAACACCGATTGAATGTCCTAAACATTTACACTGATCACAGAAGGGTGGAAATTCCTCCATCACAACATGCTATATGTAGACAAATTTATCAGGACCTAGCCACACTCTATCAAGATATTTTTTTGGTTATATAAAACTCAACTAAAACATAATCAACAGACGGGGGAGAGACCATAACAGTAGCATTATCAACTTTTAGCAGTCGACCAAATAACGGTCCTAGGCGTGAAGGATTCGAGAGGAGAATAGGTGTGGTAGCAAGTTGTGGAATGGTATCCGAATTGGGATAACTGGAGATTCAACACCAATATCAACTAAGGGAGATCATGTAGCAATTATTTACCAAATAAGCTATATGACAAAAAACTCTACTATAATCAAGATCATTTCCCAACTTGATCAGAGCATGAGAGTGATCCAACAGGGTAACCGAGAACTCCCCAATGAACGTAAGGTTGAAAAAAACCTCGGAATAAAATCTAGACTAGGATGAAGTGAAGGGAAAAGCCAACTAAAGCACATTTAAGAGGAGCGACTAGGGCAAGAATCTCCTCCTTCGATATCTATAATGAAGACAAACCACAAAATGTTGTAAGTTTTAGATATGGAAAACATACATATGGTGAAGAACCAGATAAAGCATCAATGAACGAGCAAGATTTATTAGACCCTTCCAAAAAACCAAGGTTGACCAACCGATTCACAGCCATTCCGCCAAGTGGAGGTGGACGAATTGGCAAAAGAACCCAAAAAATCGTGAGCCAACACACACAAAAAAAAATGAGAAACTTTCCTGAGAAGAGCACCGCCACCAGCAGCAATGATCAAAGCCGTGAACGAGGGCTAGCTGATGTGATACCACATGCGAAAGGAGCTTGTTAAGAAATTTTAAGAATCATTGACAATGAAATCTCAATTAATAACTTATTGAAATAACAAGCAAATTCATTAAAGATTCTTGATTTTCAACTCGCTTAGGCGAAGGAGTACATGTAGATTAACTAATCCTTGGAGATAAACAAAATAGTAGCAAAGCTAAGAGCTATTAAACAACAATCCACCACTTAATAATGAGAAATTTCACCTTGGGGATTATTCACTCGACTACACTAGGCTTGGCGAGAGAAGATCTTGCAACTAGAATTGAGATCACCACTAGGAAGAAGATGCCGGAAGTCTTTGTCCACGGGAAAGTAGTCGGAGTAGGTGGGGTTGGCGGTTGTCCGGTGATGATCCAACGACTTGGTGGAAGATGGATCTCATGATCCGCCATTCAACATTGAAGTGGAGAGGGGAGGCGTCGTCTTCTCCTTTCCTTGGCTTCTCTATTCGAGGGAGAAGCAAAATGGGGCGGCGGGAGCTAGAGAAAGAGGGGAGGCTTATTATTATTATTATTATTATTATTATTCTCATATTAATCATTATTATTATTATTATTATTATTATTATTATTATTATTATTATTATTATTATTGAGATTTTATTAGGGATGTTAATAAAGGAGTCATTGCACCAGCCCTATAT